AATTAATATATTCAAATGTATATAATATATATTAATATAATAAATACACACACACACACATATAAGCGTCATTAAAGAATCAATTGTCACTAATAATTATCATTAATGCAATAATAATTTATAATCCTATATCATATATTGATTTCTACTTGAGACTAATCGAGAAAATCGAAAATATCTTACTCGGTTAGAAATATACTACCACGTTTTTAACATATTTAAATGAAACGCTAGTCGATTTTCGATGGTTGAATCTATTCTATGACAGTTTTAGTTTTCCTATAGTTCTGACCATAATCTTTTATTTTCTAAAAAATTCTTATTATTAGAAATGTTAATTAATTTTTTCATAAATTTATCTCGTCCGATTTAAGTTATACCGCCTCCTTTCTAAAATATAAAATAACAGAAAAGATAATAAATAGAATAAAATAAAACAAGAACGCACTATGTATGTGAAAATCGAGTAACAATTATTTTGTTGCCATTAAAAAATATTTAACACATTATAAAATAGATTAATACATAATTTTTTCTAATTTGTATCATTTAGTTCGACGATTTATGCATCACTATACATTTTTAATTTTAAAATGACGGACGAATTACAATCAACGCGATTAATAAAGTTAAATTAATGAAAAATTGAAAAAGAAATGCGATAATCCATCTGAAAATGTATAACTAAAATTTTACATTTTGCGCAATACATTTTGAATGTATACGTTACATAAAATACATGTATTAAATATTAATAAACGATCGATATATTATTTCTTTTCAATATTTGAATTATTTAATTTGGAACGCGCTATTGGTATATTATTCTACGCTTTTGACCTAAAACCGCCAAGCAAATTATGTTTAAATCATCGAAAAATTTATAATGCGATACAAGATATATTCGAAGATTTAAGCATTAAAAAATAATTATAATAATTATAATCGTATCTAAATATCGCAATAAAATAACAATTTATAATCCCCATTCCCTATTAGTTTCATTCCTATTTGGTTTTATTCCTACTACCTAAATAAATAAATTGCTTTAAAAATATCTGCTTTAACAAATAGTCGCAATAATTAATTGCGCACTCTAATAATTGCTAATTATTTATAGAAAATCACGTTTAGTATGTTCTAATATTTGTCGCGATCGCGTTTTGAGAGATAATACGACGCATAAACCAATTGGCATTGTTAGTTTCTCTAACTCCTCGCAGAAAATGAATATTTATTATTATTATTTTTTCCATTTTATACATTTTGTAAATTATTTAAATTGTTTGATTTTAATAAATCAAGAATTGTAATTATGTTCAATCAAATATATGATTAAAATGCAGCAATAAATATCACTTATATATATATCGGAAAAATTATAGAAAAAATTATGATTTAATTTCCTCATAAATACTTTTTCATCAGTATTCACGAAACAATACTTGCTTGCTATGTTGCAGGCTCGAATCAGCGACGAGATCATTAAAGATCAGTGCTCCTGAACGAATTGCGATCGAGTCCTGGGCTAGCGAGATCTCGGCGTCCTGCCTGACAGATTTGAAGCTGCATAGCGGCCACGGAGCCATCCGACTCGACGCCAAGTCCGTCTATATGAAGGGTCTGAAGACAGCGATGCCAGTGCAAGGACATTCGTCCAGAGAACAGCAACAACAGCAGCAGCAACAGCACTCCGGTAGATCATCATCACCTCATCAGAGCCAGAGGGAGACTACCATCTATCAGCTGTGTGCCTGTGCAAGTGGCAAGCTCTTTCTCGCCAGGCCGGAGGCCAGTTGTCAGGCGGACAAATCGATTTGCTAATACGAAACAACTCGACAGTCCTGAGTATCACGAAAACACAGGATGATCTGTTACAAATCGCGATAAACTATGTGACTCGGTGATCCTGGCGAAAAACATAAAAGAAAAAGAAAGACGCACTGCGATCGGCCAATCGGCATGATCGGGGACGAGGCCTTCATTGGAACACTGCAAACGATATCAAACGAATCTACCATGCGTCAAATAGACGGAAATACCGAGTGCGACGTATTAGGAATCATGATGAGAGATAGACAGAGAAAAGGAGAGAATACGCTAAATACGGATAGTCGGAGCTAATTAATTATTCCCAGCATGCGCTATTTTTCGATGAATGCGGCGTATTCCCAATACGCCTTTAAGTGCCGGGCGCTTTTTGGGAATTTCCAGTTTATTTAGGGCCTAATCTGGACGCTGACAAGTATTCTCAAGTACATGTCAATTAACTAAAAAAATCGCTTTTTCTTTTTTTTTTGATTTTGTAATTTAACGTCACTCACGTTTAATTGAGTTGCCATATAAGAGCACGATCGGGCGTTGTTGCGACATTAATCCCGCGGTTAAGGCATACGTCAATCTTCTCCGATCGCGGGAGTTTGACGGTGCCAATCTTCGTTGGTGAAACATCCAGCCAGTGAAACGGTCAGGTGTTTTCTCCGCAATCCGGAAGAGAGCACACGCCCGTCGTACGGATACAAAGGAAATTCTCGCGAGATCTTGACCGGCAACCGGAAAAATTCTCTCAAATTCGCGGACATTTGAAAAATTCTCTCCGAAGAATATCTTCAAGCGGCACATTCACCGAGTTCTTTCCTTTAACTTTTTCCCGCGTCAGCGCCGTCGGTCAATGCGACATGCCTTCTGAAGTTCTTGCGTTGCGGAAGATTCGCATATTTTCTCGCGGCGTGCTTGCTTGTTTGGCGTTCCGGATTCGGCCCCCAACTTGTATATCTCTCCCGGCAGGGCGTCGCTCGTCCGGAAGCCCTTGAATTGTCCATCGAGGATCCGTCGGCTGGGAGAATCCCGTGGTACCGTGAATAGATCCTATATTAACTATGTGTACGTAGCACTGTCGCCGACACTACTCCGCGATGCGTATCTCGTCCCGGACTCCCATCTCACTTTTGGCAAACTGTAAGGTTTGTATTCGAGAAGTAAAGAGAGAATTAAAATTTCTTTACGCAATCTTAAGGGGACATATCCCCTTTGAAACCTCGAAAAATGAGTGTATTTTCTAGATTTTTTTGCAGTGCGACTAAAAATTTTTAATTTTTTACAATATTATTACAATATTATTAACTACTTAAATAAAAACTTTCAGCTTAAAAATAATTTTTTTTTTTTGAAGTTGTGGGAATATTTGTAGAGCTCCTCCAAATTTTAGATGGCTGCACGGTGTGCATAAAAACGTTCGTTTATCATATCCAAAATCAAAAATACAAGTTTTTTTTTATTAAACATTAATAACTATTTGCTATCCAAGCGTTTTTTCCAAAATTTTAAAAAATAAGAAAATAGTGGCGTGTTGAAAAAAAGTTTCATTTTTTTAAGAAAAAAATCTATCTTTTTTTATTTATAATAAAATATCGGGGAATCTGATTTTAAAAAGGCTTTGTTAGCAAATGCAAAATCTTATTAGGAACTCGCATGCAAAATTTCAAGTCAATCCGTCGAACGTAGCCCGAGTTTTCATGCACACCGTGCATGAAAATATAAATCTGCAAATATTCGCATAACTTTCAAAAAAAAAAAATTTTTTTTAAGCTGAGTATGTTTATTTTAATATTTAATAATATTGTATTAAATTATTGTAAGAAAATAAAAAATTTTTATCAAGTCGTTGCGCTACAAAAAAAAACTAGAAAATATATTCATTTTTCGAGAGTTCAAACATGTATGCTCCCTTAAAAGATACAAAAATCAGGCGATATTGCGCGCCTAATGTTAAATGCGGCGTTAAGTGCAATGTCAAATTACGCTAAATGATATTAAAAACGTGGCGCTTTAAATATACAGCGCTAATTAAAGATGCGACAGTTACGGATGGGAATTCGGAACGTCGTGCATCGAAGCGAAACGCGCGATCGCTGTTAGACGGCGCCCGGTAAATCGACGACCCCTCCATCTCCCTTTTGTTCCCCATCTCTTCGTAGCACCTTCGTCAGCCTTTTTCGTTCGATACTTTATACCCTGTGTACCGAGTATACGTCTCGCGCAGCGAAACCACTTGTAGGCAAATCGTTCGTAGCACCTCTCCCTCCCACTACGAGTTTCCGCTCTCGTTCAACGCTGGGTGTCACGCGGGACCCTTTCAGGGAGATTACTTCTCGCAAAATCGCTTACTTCTAACGCGATGTCTGTTTAACCCGTGCTCCAATACAAAGTAGAACCGTTGTTGTAAGTAGGGCGACGGCTGCATCGGGCTGCGCGTGCCGCCGGAAAAACCGAGAGAAAGTTAGAAAGAGAAAGAGAACGAGGGAGAAAGGGAGAGTGAGTGAGTGAGTGAGTGAGTGAGTGAGAGAATGAGACGGTAGTTTCACGCAACCGGATCGGATCGCGATCCAGCTTGTACGCTGTACATCGGCCATGTCCATTTATTTATGTATGTGGCAATAAAGTCGTTATTGTTACTATTATTATTAATCGTTGTGTCTTGTTATTCAACATCTTTAATCTATCTCATATCACGCATACAAGTTACTTTTTACACCTTTAACAATTACATTGGACGACGTCATTATTTTATAAGACATTAGAGTCAGATATCGTTGAATAAATAAAATTCCGTCGTCCAATGTGTTATTGGTCCCATTAACCTCACCATTCTTCCTTCATTCAACTGGATGCGCCGCCTGTTCCCGAAGGGCATAATTTTCAACATGTTACAGGTGAATTTATTTTTTTCATTTAAAACAAATGACGAATGTGTTATATGTATATATGTCATATGTATATATGTATATACGCCATATTCAATACATTCTGCAGTTTCCAATTATAGTCACCAATTATAACTCATGTAACTAATAACTGCCGTAAGGGCTTTGTTGCATTGGACAAAAGCCAAAAGTTTGGCAAGCGCAAAATTACAATTAAAAATTTAGCTGAAAAATACAAGTAACTCTCGTCCGATCGCGCCTAATTTATTTGTGAAAGCGCAGACGCTAAAATTTTCGAAACCGCGGCTCGAAAATTCATCCGCTCTCTATTAAAACGCGGATGCTCTGACTTGGCCGCGGCGGCGACGGTACAAAAGGAAAATAGAAATTTAAATTAGAGAATAATCTCAAGACTAGTTCGAACAGCTCGCTGCATAATATAGTATATGTCAAGCGGGCTGACAGGTAACAGAAGCAATCTCATCTAGCACCCCCTTAAACAGCTCTGACGGCAAGGTAATTTTCTTGGAATTCGGGATTAAAATTGCATCCAGTGACGGTGGGGAGGCGGATAAAGCGCACAGCCGAGTAGAGAGGAGAGTTCCGTCGACTAGGGGTTTAAGCGATCTAACGTCGTAAGTTGGTGTGAATTAGCAGCGACAGAGAGAAAAAAAATACTTGCCAGATGATAAAATATCGTGCTGATCTTCTTACGACGCGTGAAGCGAAAGGGAGAGGCGAAGAGAGGAAGATCGGACGCGACGATATGATTGAGAAAGACGTTTTCGAAAAATTGTGATACATTTACGAACCATCTTTCTCTATTACTTTATTATTAAGCTATTTTGTATTTTTAAATTGTGACATCGAATTTATCATAGCAAAATTTACATATAAATAAATAAATTTAATTGTCTTTATAAGCATTAATTAATCAAATAAAATACAAATTTCAACTTTGATTATCAAATAATATGTAATAAATATATTTAATATTTAATATTTAATATTTAATATTTAATATTTAATATCATCCACCGTACCGTCCAGACGAGAGTTCCTGTTCATTCATTATACAGAAGATACCTGGGCAAAGTACTTATCTAAGTGACTGCTACCGCTGGTACTCGTACCTTGTACGTACTCGAGGATCTTGAGCATGCACGACCATAGGATATAGTTGGATGGTAACCGACGACGAATGGTGTTGGTAGCAGCGATCCTCACTGCAGAATAGTTTCTGTAAAGCGTGAAATTGTTGTGCGGGACACCGGAATCCGATAAAGCTTAAATATAAATTAGCCATGCATAACACACGTACATATATACACGCGCATTACACGTTATTACAGTTTTTGTCCGTGAATGCCGTGATAAAATATGACTTTAGATATCATGTCTACGTGGTTTTGAAAAGGCACTCACGCGCGTATGATGATCGATCGATCGTGATCCGTCAATTTCCGAGTGTCGAGTTTAAGCTTATTATATTACGCATCCGTGTCTCAGTAGTATACACCGTGTCGGGTCAGACAGTAGTAAACTCGCGTACGCGACTCCGGAGTGAAGGTATATACGTAATGTCGGCAGTCGTAAATCTAATGATTTACACCGGCAGGAGAAAGACAAACGAACGGATTTATCTCGCGCAAGTACAAACTTATACGCGATGCTGACTGAAGTAAACATTCATGAATCTTCGCGGGAATAACAGAATGGCGTTCGCATCGACAAGTTCAATCTCCGAGCGTGCCTTAATCCCTTTGCATATCAACTCGATCGAGTTACGCTCTTCGCCGATCTATAATTAACCTTGCCTTCTCGCCCTTTATTTTTAAATCCGTCTTCATCCAGTTACGCATCCATTTTTGCATCAATGATCGAAAGCGAACGGCTACTAACGAGTACACAGTCAGCCGCGAATAATTTGATTTACAGCGAGAGTTTATTACAGGCAATTCTACGCGTAATGCATCTGTATTTTACAACTGCGGCAAATGGTGGTAGTAGCTTCGGTTGACATATTAATTTCTGGAGAGCTTAGTTTGATGCGATCAAAGGCTTTTTGCAGCTGGCATAGAAGATTTGCGCTGTTAATCCGTTTCGAGGGTTAATCCGCCG